CCCTTTACCTTATACTTTTTTTTTTTTTTTTCATAAATACCTTTGAAAATGAATGAGTGGGTTGCGAGTTTCCTTGTATGATTTTCTTTTCTTTTCTATTTTTATTTACCGATGGATTATAGTTAGGGGCATAAGCGTAATTGAGCTTTACCATTTGACAAAGATGTTAGAACCCGTGGACATTTGTATAAAAAAAAGTGGAGTGTGGGCCAAAAATAAAAAATGTATAATTTAAAGGGCATCTATGTAATTAGGTTTTTTCCCCTATTCGCAATATACCTAACATTATCTCTATCCATCTGTTTATTTTGGAATTTTATTTATTTTTTTATTTACAAAAAAAAAAAACCCGAATAAAAAAAAATACTCGGTAGACAACTAAACGAACCTTCCCACATGAAAGGCAAATGCACGAGACATAACAAAATCATCCAACAATATTCAGATAAAGTCATGCACGGTAGCAATATCAAACCAAATACAAAGAGTAGTGAGACTTAAAAAAGACTCGACCAAAGATAGGATTTTGGATATGGTTCCACACTTCTTCAAATATCTGAATGGTCCCGCACCTTAGGTGTAACAACCCTAAATTTCTATTTACTCAGTTGCTACTCACTCTCATGTTTTGCTAAAATGTTTAATCTAATTCTTAAAATAAAACATCATTTTTACTATAAATGTTAGAAAACATTTAAAACATCTTCTAACTTTGGAAAACTGATCGTCTTATGTGTTTCAAACGAAATACTGGAATTAAAAAAAAGAAACAAATACAAAGTAAAATAATTTAAAATGATGAAATCCAAGATAACTTATTCCAACCTAAGACTAGGAGTTTAAATATGCATCTATCCTATGCACGTGTCACCGTCTCTATTCAAGATATCGCAATCATCCATACATGGGATACTCAGTAAGTGACCCCACTATAGGGGCGATACATAATGCAATCACATGCAATCATGCTCTAAGGACCTATCTCTATCTCATCTCATATTCGGGGTGGCCTCCAGTCTCGAACTACTATGGATGTGTAGTACTTCTCTACACACGACCCACACGTGCAAATTTTGATCTCCAGACAGCTTGCACACCCCCTAGATCCTCTCTATCAAGCTAGTTGTCTGTAGCAACGTCTGGAGGTCAGCAAAACCCCTAGTGTCATGCTCCCCATGATCACCGTGCTCATCATACTGTGCATGTCCGCACTCATCATCTCTAGGGGAAGTATCCCTATACTTATGTACAAACAACATGCATGAGGTCCCTCTAATTCCCATCTTAACATCTCTTCTGACACAATCCTCTAGTCTTATCTCTTTGTTACATTAAGTAACACATGCTCGTTGGATATTTATATTAATATCATTTTCATGCTCTTAGGGTTGTGTCCTAGGTCGATCTATCGACTTGATGCAATACGGCACTCATCATCATATAACATGATTAATATGAAAACATCAACATATTAAGATAAAAGTCATGCAATCATCATACTCATCATAACGCTATTAAGTGCATCAAACATATCATATACGTTATACATCGAAATATATAAATTATGTACATTATCATGCATCACAGTTCAAACATCATACTTATGCATCATCATAGCTCATACATCATCATACAACTATTGTACGACATCATGCAATACATCTCATACATCTTAAACTTAACTAACACATACAATTTCTAGTCTGTCCTATACTAAGGCCACTTACTTGGTTGGCCTTGACATTGACGGAAGTCCTCCCTAATTTAATTAACGTAAGCTCCCGTTCCTTGAGAGCTGCTCCAAAAGTTTTCGGGGTTCGTTTCCTATCACACCATTCGTCACCTTCCTTTAGTATTTCAAAATTAAATGAATAATCAATTAATAAATGTGAAATACGGCTCCAAAATGACATGAATTACCTTATCGGGGCCAAAAACGGGTCCTGGAGGGTCGGAGCGTTAGAAATCAGGCTAAAATTGAAAAGTCGGGCTGAAATCAGCCGAGAAGTCGATAGCAAAGCCGCTGAGCCGGAAGGCTGCTTACGCCGCTGGGTGACACGTGGCAGCAACAACGCGAGCCACGCCGTGTAGTGACGTCAGGTCGGGGCGCGGGTTGCAATTCAGGTCGCGTCTGTAGGCTGGCTTACTGGGCTTTGGTTTGCGGGCTGGGCCGCAAGTGAGTTTGGCTGCAAGCCGGTTTGGTTGGGGAGGAGAACGAAGCACCCTTTATAAGGGTGTGGAAACTTCTCTCTAGTAGACGCGTTTTAAAAACAAAAAGAATAATATCTGGTAGTGGTGGGCCTAAACAGTTACAAATAGTATTAGAGCCAGACACCAGGCGATGTGCCAGCGAGGAGGTTGAACCCCAAAGGGGTAGACACAAGGCGATGTGCCAGAAAGGTCGCTAGGAGAACGAAAGCAACAATTGTCAGCGAGGACGCTGGCCCCAAACGGGTGAATTTTGATATCCCACATCGGTTGGGGAGGAGAACGAAACCCCCTATCAAATCCGTTTTGAAAATCCTAAGAGAAAGCTCGAAAGAGGACAATATCTACCAGTGGATGGCCTGAGCTGTTACAGCTTCGGGTAGAACCCTAAAATTTTCTTTTTTCAATATCTTCTAACATTCTCGTTATTCACATTGAGTGGAAGTTCTCACCGCTCTGCTTTGGGCTTCACAAATGGTCTCATATCAATGGAAATAATATTCGTTGATTATGAACCGATGATTATTCCCTAAATTAACCGACTTTCATTCAACACATAATATCATTTATATTAACAATAATTTTTAAAAAAATAGAAAGATATCATAGGCGCGTTTTGTTTTTTAAACAAAATTAATTTATATATTTAGAAAGGAAGTTTCATAAAGTCAATATTTGAGATTGAAAATGCTCCAAATTTGCTCCGCAAGAAGTGGATGAGAATGTTAGTCTTTTCAATCAAATGGAAACTAAACCAAAAGCAAAGCCTTGATCGACTCTTAGTCTTACCTCCAATTCCAATAAATCATTCAACTAATATTGTTTATGGAAATTATAAGTTTAATAGATCTCTTAACTTCCTTCTAGTGGTGTGTTTCGATAGATTCCTATAAAGTTTAATTAAACAATTTTTAAAGTTTAGAAGCTAAATAGATATAACCCTCAAAAAAATTAGGATTTGCTAGGATGTTCGTAGATTCAAGTCAGGTTGAGACATTTTTTATTTCGATAAAAGTAAAATATTAGTACTTGAAAAATGTATATTTTAAAATTAACAAATAAATTTGAGTTGGCTCAGTTCAACCCAATCCAAACTAATACGAGGAGAACATATAGCATAAAGTTTTCATTTATTTAAACTCAATTCAGCCCGATTTGAATTGGGTTGATCGAATTTTTTCGAGTCATTGAATTTTTTAACACCACGATCTACATTATTTGGAGCAAATCCTTATAAGATAGTACTAAGAGAATTGAAGTATTTTTTTTAAATATCCCACTAATAATCTTTTAATAGTAGTTTTATTCTTTCACAACTAATCACGAGTCGATAATATGATATTACTTACATTTACGATCTATTACGATGTATGCGTGACAACATCGTAAATTATAAATATAAAAAAATAAATTTAAATACTAAAAAGAATGTACCTAAAAAGTTGAGAATGGAAGGTAAAAGATATTTAGAGTATTAAAACAATTAATGTTGACCAAATAAAATTTGATGATTAAGATTTGTCTCAAATATGAAGAAAGGTTGGGTTGATAGTTTTGATGGTTAATGGAAAAGTCCTCAACTTTCCACAAATTCAAACCTAAGTGCAATATAATCTTCCCAACCTCATCCTTGTACCCTCGTTCTCTCGAACGTGTTAATAGGTCAGGTTGGATTTGACATTTTTTAAGATCGAATTGTAAATGTTTTCGACGAACGATGAACCCAACCCAACCATAAAATTTTTGGGTTCGGTTGACTCCCGTTGTTGGAGTTATTTATTCAAAATTTTGTTTTTAATAAAAATAAAATGTTAATTCAAAAAAAGATTTATTTATTTATTTATTTATTTATTTATTTTTAGAAACTAGGTTGATAAAATATTATATTATATTTTTACTTAATGAAATCTTTTCTTTGAAATAAATAACATTGTAAAAATATAAGAGAAAAAATTCACACAGAAGTATTATGAAAATAAATAATGATGATTATGTAGAAAATAAATAGAGATTAATTAGTTGATTAACTTTCTAAATCTCATTCAAACACTAATCTTTTCAGGTAGAACAAAATACATCTTTTTCAAACCCTTTTCACTTTAAAATTCCCAAAACAAAAACAAAAAGAGTTCCAAATCTTATGAACATTTGGAACAATTTCAGCCATTTCTAAGAACCCAGATGAACAAATGATGAACAAAATAAATAAAAAAAAATCTCGATTTTCTAAGTAGGAATAAACGATTCATAGCAAAGAACTCACGGTTGGATGAAAGTTACACGTTGGCTAATTTAGGAAATGATCATTGGTTTATAATCGAGGAATACTCTCCACTGATGTGTGGGTTTATAATCAAGAAATACTCTCAACTGATTTGAAGCATTTTGAGGAGTTTAAAGTAAAGCCATGTGAGAGCGGATACTCAAATTGGACAATATCGTAAACCTCGTAAACACAGTTTTCAATCACAGCCTTTGATTTTGAAACCAGCGGCTTTGATTTCTACACAAAAACTAAAGCCATCGTGGACCGAAAATGGTGGGAAGAAGAGTTTGGTGAAGCAGCAATATGCTTCAGTTTGTGTTTCAATATGAAAATCAAGAGTTTTTGACTGCCGGATTTGTTGTTCTTCCTTCCATTTCTCTGTTCATAGTGCTCTTCAATCCACCCATAACAAGCATTTTCTAATCAAAATGCCTTTTCCAAGTCAAAAAAGTTTGGTTTTCAGTTCTCTATATATACTTAAATTTGGAGTTTAACTTCAAAACGGATCCCAATATTGCATAAGTGTTCTTTTTCACACTTTTTGTGTAGAAAGTGAAGAAAAAACATTAAGAAAATGCATCAACCAACCCATTTCCTCATCTTTTTCATGTCATTTCCCCTGTTTTCTCTCTGTTTTGGCAGTTTCCATGAGTACCCTCTTCCTGTTTCTCAATATCATGATCAAATTTATGGTCATTATCCAAAACCCAGATGGAACACGGGTTTTTACGGCTCGACGACGAGGCAGGATCGAGTAAGCTCGCTTTCGGGTTCGCCAAAGGTCGTGAATGTGGATGATTTTGGAGCTAAGGGAAATGGACAAGATGACAGTAAGGTACACCCCATTGAACAGCCCAAGCTTAAGCTCATCGTTAACAGATATTGTCCTTTTCAGGCCGTTACACCTTAGTTTTTGTTTCGTTTGGTTACTCACAGTGTTCATGAATGCATGTTTTAGGCATTTGAGCTAGCTTGGAAGAAGGCTTGTTCTTCTAGTAAGGCAATGATTTTGGTGCCTAAAGGCAGGACATATTATCTTAAGCCAATAACTTTTTCAGGTCCTTGTAGATCTCCTTTGACACTAAAGGTGAGAGTATAAGCATAATTTTCAATATCATATTTTTGGAAAATTTTGTGTTCATTTCATTGTTCTTCTCATTGTTAGATCGATGGAATGATCAAAGCTTCTCCAAGAATGTCGGATTACGATGACGATCGACGACATTGGCTTAAATTCGAAGGCGTCGACAACTTTGTTGTAGAAGGCAATGGTATCATCAATGGAAATGGCAAAAAATGGTGGCAAAACTCTTGCAAAGTGAACAAAGAACTTGTAAATCCATCACTACTTTAAACAACTATGTCTCATATTATCAATATCATTAGCTTATGATTGTTTTTCTCTTGGATTCTTTTGCAGCCTTGCAGGGGAGCACCGACGGTTCGTCGCTATCCTTATGATCTCCGAAAGCGTTCTCCTTATGATCTCCGAAAGCGTTTTCGATGTCATTTAATCAAAAATGTTCATCTGGTTTTTGTATGTGCAGGCTGTAACTTTCTACCAATGCATCAACTTGGTTGTGGCTAACCTGAAACTAGAAAATGCACAGCAAATGCATCTGACATTTCAGAAATGCACCAATGTCAAAGCTTTGAATCTTCGGGTCGTCGCCCCGGAGAATAGTCCCAACACGGATGGAATTCACGTCACGGAAACTCAAAATGTTATAATAAGGAACTGTGTCATTGGAACAGGTGAAAAAAATTTGGTCAATTCAAAGAAAATGAAACAAATTTTATACTTTGCTTATGTGATATCCCACGTTGGTTAGGGAGGAGAACGAAACACCCTTTATAAGAGTGTGGAAACCTTTCTCTAGCAGACGCGTTTTAAAGCCTCGAGGGAAAGCCCGAAAGGGAAGGCCCAAAAAGGACAATATCTGCTAGCGGTGGGCCTGAACCTGGGCGTTACAGTTTAGCTAAGGGTGGATTTGAAATCGGTTTTTTTTTTTTTTTTTTTTTTTTTTTTTTTTTTTTTTTTTTTTTTTTTTTTTTTTTTTTTTT